TGGGAAGTACAAACTTTATATTTGGCACAGAGAGTCTTATTGGACATAGCTACTCGAGGGGTATATAGTTTAATAGCATTCTTTGGTTTGTAACATGTCATCTGTCCCCAATTGTAACTATCCAAATAACTGAGATTTACTTGTGGGAAATTTTTGAACATAGTATATGGTCTAATACTTTCAAGTGGGGTGCATACTGGAACCAAACAACTTCCAAGCACATAATGAAAATTCACATCAGCATTTAAACATATTTCAGACAAATTTAAGGATTCAGCTAGTTGCACCCAAACATTTTTAGTATGACCTAAGTCCTCTTTGGACAACGCTATTATTGTCTCAAGAGTAATCACCCAGATCATAATGAAGGTCCAGTTGAGCGGAGTTTTATTTTCAATTCTCTGGGTCTGCTGACGACGCTCCATTTTCCATGCGCCTCCGGGCTGTTGTCTGGTCCGGGCTTGACGTGGTTGCGATGGATCCACATCGGGTGTCCTGCAACCTTCACAGCCAGAGGAGTAGACAGGACAACTGGAAAAGGTCCCTTCCACCGTGGTTCCAAGGTTTTGGAGTCAAACCTGCGAATGTAAACCAGTTCTCCCGGCTTATAGGGCAGTGGCTGTAAAGGTTTCTCATGAGGAAGGGTCAGAGATCCTCTAACCTGGTCTTGTAGTTGAGACTGTATTTCATGTAAAGCTCTCAGAGACTTAAGCAAACTCAGATGAGAGAATTTCTCCTTTAATTCCATATCTATATGGGGAACCAAGGGGGGAGTACGCCCATAGATAATTTGGAAGGGGGACAGATTCAGAGGAGGCTTGGGAGTACATCGAATACGCTGCAGAGCAAAAGGGAGAAGCTCCACCCAACTTAATTCAGTCTCTAGGCTCAATTTAGTTAAAATCTCCTTTAGTGTCCTGTTAGCTCTTTCTATCTGTCCTGAACTTTGAGGTCTGTAAGCACAATGTAAATTCCATCTAATTCCAATGCTTAGGCTAATCAGTTTAGACACTTTAGCCGTGAAGGCTGGGCCATTGTCGGACCCCAGGGCTAAGGGCAAGCCAAATCCGGGAACTATCTCAGTCAGGAGCTTTTTTATTGTTACCTCAGCTGTTTCCTTTTTAGTAGGGTATGCTTTTATCCACCCTGAGAATGTGTCTATGAAAACTAATAGATATTTGTAACCATACATGCCTAGTTTCATCTCGGTGAAGTCCAGTTCCCAGTGCTCTCCGGGAGTCAGTCCCCTATATCGGACCCCTGGGGGCCCAGTTACCCGATTCGCGTTTACCTTGAGGCAGGTGGGGCACCGTCTCACTTTGTCCCGGGCCTTCTGGGCTAATTCTCTGCTGACAAAGTGGGGCCGTAGCAGGGCCATCATTCTCTTGTCTCCTAGGTGGGTGGATTCATGGAGCTCATTCAGCAAAGTGTCAGCCACCGCAGCTGGCAGAACGATCTTCCCTTCATCTGTCGTCCACCATCCATGCTTTCCTTTGGTCCAGTGGTTCTTACTCATCTCCGTTATTTCTTCCTCTGTGTATTTAGGCCCCTCTGGGAGCACGGGTGTAGGTAGCAGCACCATTTGTTTCCCCACTGATTTTTGGGCAGCTTGCTTTGCTGCCTGGTCAGCTGCGTTGTTCCCAATCGCTTCAGGGCTGGAATTCCTTTGATGTCCACGGCAGTGAATAATGGCAACCTCCCTTGGCAGCCAAATGGCTTGCAGCAGAGCCAATATCTCAGCTTTGTTTCTAATTTCTTTCCCGTCTGATGTTAAAGGTCCTCTATTCTGGTAAATTTCTCCATGCACATGGGCAGTAGCAAAAGCATAACGACTGTCAGTGAAAATATTTATCTTTTTCCCTTTTCCTAATTCCAGAGCCTTAGTTAAAGCGATTAGTTCGGCCTCCTGTGCTGACGTCCCTTGGGGCAGCCCTTGTTCCCATATTACCTGTTGATCCTGATTGACTATTGCTGCTCCCGCATATCGCACACCTTCACGTACGAAACTGCATCCATCAGTGTAGTATGTTGCCTCAGGTCGGGGGAGGGCCAGGTCCGTCAGATCTGGACGTCCTCCCTGCAGATTTTCAAGAGTCTCAAGGCAGTCATGGATGGGCAGTTGATCATCTGATTCAGGGAGCAGGCTAGCAGGATTCAGGTTAGAGGTTGTGGCAAATTTAATGCGCGGCTGTTCTAACAAGAGTCCCTGGTACTGCAACAATCTAGCATTTGATAGCCATCTGCTTGGTGAGTTGTGCAACAGGGGCTCAATAGCATGAGGAGTGATCAGAGTTAGATCCTGGCCAAAAGTCAGTTTATCAGCTTCCCGAGTTAAAGCAGCAGCCGCAGCTATCGTCCTTAAACAGGACGGCCATCCTCTGGCCACTGGGTCAAGTCTTTTGGACAGATAGGCTATAGGTCGCTTCCAAGGCCCCAAAGACTGTGTGATCACTCCTTTTGCCACCCCGTTCCTCTCTGCCACATATAAGGTGAAAGGTTTATTTAAGTCAGGCAGGGCTAAGGCTGGCGCTGTGGTGAGCGCAGTCTTGAGCGTCTGGAATGCTTGCTGGCAAGCCTCTGTCCATTCAAGGGGTGCATTTACCCCCACTGTAGCCTCATGCAGGGCTTTGGCAATTTCAGCAAAGCTAGGTATCCAGATTCTGCAGTATCCTATGGCCCCCAGGAATTCACGCACTTGCTTCTTTGAGCTGGGCGTGGGGATCTGAAGGATCGCTGACACCCTGGATTCAGCTAACTTTCTTTTCCCTTTTTCAAGAACATAACCCAAGTAAGTTACCTTGGTTTTGCAGAGCTGGGCTTTCTTCCAGGACACTCGATATCCCAGACCTTGTAGGGCCTCCAGGAGTCCCTCGGTGGCTGTGAGGCATTTTTTTTCTCGGTCGTGGTCGCCACTAAGAGGTCGCCTACATACTGGAGAACAGTTGCATAGGGAAAAGCTTTTCTTACCTCTTGTAGATCTCTGCTGAGAGCTTCCCCAAACAGTGTGGGGGAGTTCTTAAAGCCTTGTGGCAATCGAGTCCATGTCAATTGTCCAGTAGTTCCAGTGTTTGGGTCCGTCCATTCAAATGCAAAGAGCGGCTGGCTCACTGGTGCCAAGGGCAGGCTGAAAAATGCATCTCTGAGATCAAGAACTGAATACCATACATGCGCAGGCGGAATGAGGCTCAGCAGTGTGTAGGAGTTTGGTACCATCGGGTGGATGGTCTCCTGACTGTTTACTTCCACCCGGCTGTTTACCTCCCGCAAGTCCTGTTCTGGAGAATTTTCTTCTTCTCCGATTAGTTTAAATTCTTCTTATTTCCCCATTTCATTTTTTTTTTCCTTCTGTATAAAACCCTCTTCTGCCATCATTATTATATTTGTCTTTGCCGTCTTTTTAGTTATTCTATCTTCGGGTGGATCCCTATTTGTGAACACCTTCATTGCTACACTTATCAATTTTTCCCTATTCTCTCCTTCAAAGCCCTCAATTCTCTGTAATTTTTTTTCTGAATATCTGGGGCCGACTGAGTTACAAAAGCCAGATTAATTGCCTGCCTGTTCGCTGGAGCGTCTGGGTCAATTGGAGTGTACGTGCGGTAAGCCTCCAGTAAACGCTCCAGGAAAGCAGAGGGGGATTCCTCAGGCCCTTGTAGGACCTCGCTTACCTTGCTCAAATTGGTAGGCTTGCAAGTGGCTCCCCTAAGGCTGGCCAGGAGATGCTGACGGTAGTTGGGAAGAGCTTCCCTACCTCCGGTGGAATTCAATTCCCATTTGGGACGGGAGATGGGGAGTTGTGCTTCAACTCGGGCCTGTTGTTGGTCGTCAATAAGCCCCTTAGTTCCCCCCAGCACTGACCGAATAGCGTGTCTTCTAATTCTTTCTCATTCCTCGGATGTGAACAGAGCCTGTAAAAGTTGCTGACAATTATCCCAGGTGGGGTCATGGGTATTAAACACAGACTCAAGGAGGGAGATTAGGGCTTGTGGCTTCTCAGAGCTCCTTTAATTCCATATTTATCTTCCTGCTCAGGG